TTTTTGGCAGGCAAAAGAGGTTACAAGGAAACAGTAGTTCCCAGTGGCCAGTATAACATTTTCAGCCCCAATGATACGACTTAGCTATGGCTCAGACGAGACCGAGTTTGCAACTGCAGTTGCTGCTTCTGCATATGCCATACATTTTCTGGCTCAAAGAAATGACCCCTTTAAGCCACCACAAGGAGGTAGAAGTCTCTCTCTGTCTCTCTCTCTCTCCCACTCTCTCTCTCTCTCTATCTCTCTCTCTCTCTCCCTCTCCCTCTCCCTCTCTCTTATCTCTCTCTCTCTCAACAACTACATCATAGGATATTGCAAAAACGGGAAACTTCATTTAAGAAATGACAGTGGCGAACTCTTTTGGTGTGAAGGTTCTTCGAGGATGCCATCTGCAACAGAAACTACTACTGGTAAGAATCCATCCATTGGTCGGCCGACCAGCATTTTACCTGAGGACCACAGACTGAACCCAGCTTCAACTGGACTCGGCAGTTCAGAGGCCAAAGCTTATGCTTGGGAGAAAGGCCAAATAGAAAAGATTCGAAAACGGTACAGGATATATGTATCAGCATGACAGACATTCAAATTCACACAAGAGAATTTTATAAATTTATGCTATTTTTTTACATTTATATTCAAGAAAATGTCGTGATGTTTACAATTCGGCTCACGTCATTCCAGGTACGAAAAGATGCAGTCGGAGATTATAGCTTGGGAAAATGAGAAGAAACTGACAGAGAAACATGAAATGGAGAGGAAAAAGGTTTTTGCCCTTTTTGTATCCACTGCTTATCTAGAGGAAAGTTAAGACACATGTAGTTACCAGTTGTTAATTTGTTATTGCAGGAAGAACTTGAGCAGAGAAAATCAACAAACTTGAAACACTACTATAACAAGATAGCCAGGATTGATCATATAGCACGTGGCGCAAAGGCACAACTTGAGGAGAAACGAAAACACGAAGAGTTTATTGTGAAGGAGAAAGCAAGGAAAATCAGATCAACTGGAAAAACTCCATTCAACTGCTTCTGTTTCTAATCTTACCACAGGGCCAAAAAGCAAGATATTAACACAAAGCTTCTAACTTTATAGTTTTAATTCATTGCTGTGATTAGTAGCCTGTAAATAATGTTCAAGAATAAGCAGGGGAGTTGCAAAATTTGAAGAAGCATTAAATTGTGCTGGAATTACAGTCCTTGAATGCAAATATTTTAAACTAGACCACAAAATACTCGTCTTGCTCCACTGTTACTTAAGTCTACATGTACTTGTAAATTTCAACAATCAAACATAATGTAGGAGAAGAGCAAGTTTCAATTCAGTATTTTTTTTTTTTTTTTTTAAAGTAGTAATCCACTCACATACAGCAAACTGCTGAAGCCACCTATTCTGCTACAAAGCGAGTTGAAACGGACAAGAACAGAAAAAATCACGGTATAATGTCAGTAATAATCTTGCATTGATTCAGGACATGTAGGAGTTTGTTCAAATGTATGATTATCCTTGCAAAGTATCAAATTGATAGATCATAAAATATGCTCCTTAAGCATTAGAAGATTCAATGATTCCAAATTCTTTGGATAACAAAATTCTTTATGCATGTTTCTAGAAATCCAATTACAAAAATTTAAAACATGATAGGTAAAAATGAAATAATCCTACTCGAGTCGTGCTATACAATGGCCCCTAACAAACAGAGGAAATAGGAAATAATAGATGCTACTATTTCATGAAATCTCTTGCAAGGGTGACTCCTTTTTGTCAATTGATATGCTCGTCACTTTATGATGTTGATCTCTGAGAAATTCTACAGCCATGAAAGTGAGAGCCGATGCTGGAATATACCACATAAGTCTGGGGACACCACCTCTGAACATCCCTTTTACTCCTTCAGCATACCATACCTTACAAAGAGCATCCAACCATCCATTATACCTGTCCAAAAATAAAAATAAAAAAAATAAAAAAAATATTGCAATATATATGTGTGTCTCTATCAAAGATTTTGAGTTATCAAATGACTTAGAGCTTTAACACGAAGACTTCCGTGAAGCTGCCTAACGGTCAGGCTATTCGACCCGCCACATTTCTCAAACAAAAGCATTTACTTTCTGGAAAATGAAAATAATATTAAAAGAAACGGCTGTGCCTTGTCTTTCTGGATACAAGACTGACAGTACTTTGCAACTATGAAATTGGAAACTGAACATGTTTTCCATTTAAAGGTAAATGTCACACAGTGCTCATACCGAGTCACTGTCCCTTGTACTTGCAATCTCGTTTTGACAACATCCAGGGGAGTAGTGAGATACGCGCTCAAACCTGGAATATATAATAAATTGAATATAAAAGCATACAAATTATGATAACTATGTCCAGTTGACTGAAATCCAGGAAAATTTAAATAATTGAAATGGCAGTGTACGTACCACCAGCTAGCCCTCCTAATACGAGCCCCTCAAAAGAACTATTAGTTTGAAAGTTTGAATTGGGGAGTAATTTGTGTTTCCCATATTGTGCCACATTCTTAAAAGCTTCATAGAAAGTAACCTGAAATGTGTAAACAAGAAAACATTATACGGGTGTTATGAAAGCTCTACTGTACTAGACAATGACACTAGATTTTTGGTGAAAAGACAGAAGCCCTTTTTTTGTCAACAACACATTGATGAGCACAAGCGATAGGTCTACATTTTCAGTTAGATTTTACAATCATTACAGTAGAAGACTCGTGGTGACAAAGATACATTGTAAATAAATTACAAATTGACTCCTAAATATTTTCACAATCACATATTGTTAGGATTTTTAAAGAGTAGCTTATACCGGTGTGTAGTTGTCATAAAAATAGAACTAAGCCAGCCCCAATTACTAATGGTAGATTGAAACAAGAAACTAGAAAGATCAACACAATAATACTGATAGAAAATATGATACCATAAGGCCAGCAAATGGCACATCCCTTGCAAGCGTTGACCAGTATCTGCAACAAGACACGTTGAAACACTCAATCCTCAGTATTATAGAAAGGATAAATGGGATTTTTCATTGTACGAGGAAACTGAGTAGATCATCTATCAAAAGTGTACAACATTTTCAATAGTAATATTTAGCAAAGATGTACTACTTTGCTCAACTATAACAATATACCCTGCATATAGTCCCTTCATGCCTTGTTCCTTCCATATCGAACATCCAGCCTGAAACATTCCAGTGTAGTACCCATACACAGGCATTCCATGATTGACATGAGAACCTTTTTTCGCCACAACAGATGTCCAGTATTGTTTGGAGCCCTGAACTTGCATCCGTTGCTTCATCACTTCACAAGGAACATATATAACAGAGCCAAGTGTATCTCCTGAACAGCATATATACACAAACTCTTAGATACTATACATGATCAAACAAGGAATTGCCACATCAAAATCGGAAAGAAAAGATAAAGGCCCAGAAAATGTGGCCAGTGTCCACCAAAGTGGTACATATAACACAAAAAAAGTTCATAAGATTACCTAAGGCTCCAGATATGAAATGTGCCCAGTGACCCCCGATATTAGGGTACGATTCGTCCATCCATTTCTTGGTGGACTCTATTACTCCAAAATATGTAGCTCCAGTAGCTAGAGACCCCATTACTCCTGGTGTGATCCCTCTGTAAAGGCCTATCAAACAATTACCATGATCATGCACATAACAGAAACGACAAATTAGAAACTTATCGAACACAGATTATTAAACATATAGAAAAGTCATTCTACAAACAAAAGGGTCATTTACCTTGCAAACCATCTGTAGTCCAAACAGCACGTACCAATTGTCTTGCAGTACTCTGATGCTAAAAATCAAGAGGGTAACGAATCACCCAGTTAAATCAATATAAAGGGAACTATTACAACTTATCGTGTGATATAAATTGACTTTGTTATCATCGAAGTATTTAGGGCATAAACCTTGCCACCGCTGAAAATGGCTTGGCTTTGAATGCGTGTTTTTATGGTGTCGACAGGGTGCATCATCCCTTCGCCGAAAGCACCTGCAATTGCGCCCCAAAGAAACTCCCTCCACACTACAAAATGCAGGATGGTAATTAGCGTATCAACTCTATGGTTCTTTAAGATTAATCAAGAATCTTTAGGGAAAGTAACAAAAAAAAAAAAAATGGGACAGTTTGCACATCAAAAAACCCCTTCCAGCTGGAGTGAGCTTTACCTAAAAGCTGATTGTGGTCCGAACGGCCGGCGGCAATGGGGTGGTCGACGGCCATGGATGTTATTCTGCAAGCTAGATGAGGTCTAGGGTTTTACCAGTCAATTTCAGTTCTATGCCCCACATGTCATATGTTTGGGGGTTATTATTTGTGGTTATGGAGCGATTTTTTATAAATTGAACTAGTAGTCTTACGGCTTTGCACGCACGGCCGACTCAAATTTAGTCTAAAACCTAGTGAAAATTTGTCGTCCCTTAAAATGATCAGTCATATTTTTATATATTTTTTAAAACATTGATTTATAAACAAATGAAGTTATGTTGAATAAATTTTGACAAAGTTTGACTTTCATAAACTATCTGAATAGACTTGTAATTATTGCCGTGCAGATTTACACAAAGTTGTGTTATGTCCATATTTAGGTTTAAAATTAATATTCTTATGTTATTTACATATCGCCGACTGTAATTTAGTCTTTATTCAGTCTGTTAATTTTGTTAATTAACTAATAAGTATTAGTCATAATTTTGTACTTTTTGTTTGCATTTTCTTTTTTAATGAACTATTGCATTGAGCATTAAGGTAAACCACAATAGAACGGATAACAACAACCAGATAATTAAGCTGCAAATGAATATCTCAAATTTCTCTTGCAATGAAAACAGATAACAGCAACCAAATAAGTATTATTAATATGAAAGAAAAGTCTTGACATTTACATATAAAAACTGACCATGATACACATCAAAATAGGCAATGCCGCACATAATCTTATTTCAAAATAGTGATTATACACAAATAAGAAAAGGTCTGATACCCACCTTTGGTTGATGAGAGTTTGCAGTCATGAGTTCTTAAGATTCGGGAACAGTAATTTATTGCAAAATAGATTAACAGCCTCGATAGCTCACGAGACTTGAAGGGTCAAGATATTGGGGAACGACATTGGAATAGCTAGTAAAGTACCCGTCAAGGTGTTGCTATTGAGTCGACTATCCTTTACAAAGTACAAAGCAAACAGTAAGATCCAAATGTCTGAAATGCTATTATAAATTCAATACGCAGCATACATAATTGATTAAAAATAGACAAAAAATAGCCACACAACTAATTAAAGTTTAGTCATTGCATACCTATAACAACTCAAACAATTCGAAGGAAATAAATGTGCTAAACATCATAGTGAGTTTTGTATTGGCTTAGATTAATCAAAATAGAAAATGCTGATACTTCTTATATTTATAAAACTTCAGATATGGGTCTAAAAGAATGGGACGAAGAGGTCGACTGTGAACTGCACAAAATCACTTTATCTTTCATCTTTTCTAAAATGTGCTTGCACTCATCATCTTCTGGTTCATCAATCTCAGCTTTCTCCTCAAGAAAACTCACAACTTGCCTCCTTGCTGGCCTTGAATCTTAAGCGTCCAGATTAAGCGGGTAGATCCCAAGCTACTATCTTTTCATCTACCATTGCAAAAAATAGTTTGAATTACATAAAATTAGTGAGTCGTATGTGCTTTGACGGTAAGCCATGGAAGTGAACTGATTTCAATATCAAGATTGTCAATTTCTCCACTTCCAAGTAGAACCAAATATAATATAAATCGACTCTAGTTACTTTTTGGTAGAGTTCTTTGCAATCTTAACAGGAATCATATGCCACTAACAAAATACTAACACACAACGTAAACGTTTTTTTATGTCTATGAAAACCAACTCACATGGTTTGATAAAATCCAAAATGCAATAAAATTCAGAAAAAAAAATAAAAATAAAGATCCGAGCACAAACAATTTCACGAAAAGATAAAATTAAAAGGAACAAATAGGAACCTTTGGAGTTGCGCAAAGTTTTGAGCACGGTCATGTAACCGAGCGTGTACTTTCTGTTCTTCATCACCAGTTGTTAATGGTCTCATGGTCCTCTTCTGCAAGCCAAGAAAGAAATGTGAGAGATTGATTTAATTAATGATCTGAAATAAAAAAAAGAAACAAAAAAAGACTTTGCTGAAGGGTTATTCGAGGCCCCCAATGGATGCTTTCGATATTGAACAACCGCACAGATCTGCTGAATACTGCTGCACACCACCCATAGCAACATACACCATCTGCGTCGAAGTGGCAACATCCAAACCGACACCCAAGAATGAAGAAGAAATATCCGAAGATCCAAGCAAACGAACAGAACCAGAACCTTGCTGCACAGAAGGCAAACGATCTTCTAGACCTCCATCTCTGAAGGGCATTATCCCACAACTTTTGTTTGCACCAGAAACATTCTGGTTCAGTAGAACACCAGGCCTTCCCTCGCCAGCTGCAATGAACTCCATTATTGGCATAGGCTAACAAATGACGGCCACCCTTCAGTACAGAACCTGCCAAACATAGCACCACAAGAGGAACTGGTTATTGTTCAACATGCCTAAAGAGAGAGGTAATCAGTTAGCTAAAAGAGAATTAAGAACATTAAAGCATGGAAAGATGAAGATTACAGAAGGTTTTGAATACATAGCTCAATTTTATATCTAATAATGAGAATAAATGCATCAGGAATAACTTAACTCGATAAAAAAGAAAAAAGAAAGAAAAAAATGCGAATAGAAGAACCATATAGATAAGAAAATGACAAATGAAAAGTGATAATAGCAGGAATAGAAATCAGAACTAAAACAACCAGCAATGTAGTTAGAGAATTGAAAATGTACCCGAGAGTAGTTGACAATTACAGGGAGGCCATGGGCAACATAGTCTTTAAGCTCCAACAACTTTCCAATAGCAGCACAACCCTCAACAGCTAGCAATCGCACGGAATCCTGATCTGAAAAGAATCATTTATAAGATCATTTTAGTTCTTTTAAGTGCACCAATGCACTATATATCACTTTGGTTTCAGTTATCCATTTATTAAAATCCAGCTGTGAATCTTCTTCATTAAACAGTTTCAGTAGTTGACTAACTCCAAATAATTATTTACTGATTACTTCTTATCTTTGCAGTTATCTATTCCTAATGCTTCACTCGTTTTATCAATCATAAATAACAAATAGCTCCCTTTCGTATCGAATATCTTTGCCGATTGGTTTTGAGCCGTTGGTCTTTATCAGACCTCGCCACGTTTAGTGAGCCGACCAGCCACCAGGCCTCGACTGCCGAGCTGCTGCTAACTGCGAGATCTGGACGCCGCGTGTAACGCCACCGTGCTGATCACATGAGCTGCTCGTTGCTCTCTATTGTCGCGCCGCTATAGATATTAGCTGCATGAAGTCAGCCGTATGGAGCTTTGGTCAGTCATCCATCAACATGTGAAAAAATTGGAGTAAGGGTTGAAGATTGCATATGAGTGGAGGCAGTGAAAATATAAAGCAACACCAAAGAATTCAAAAATAAAAGCACCAAACATCAGAAAAATAAAGCTAATACCCAAGAATTTAGAATCTTACCAGCAATGTTGGGTACTCTTCAAAATCTTCAGTTTCCACAATTTCCCAGTAAAATCCTCCCAAAGCTAAAATTAAGCATTTGAAAAGAAGAAAAAACCCAAAAACTATGAAAACAAAAATAGGTATGACGCTAAGCGACAAAGACTGGAACGAATGGTTATCTTGATTCATTAGAAAGTGGATAAGGGTACAAAATTTCATCCTGCCAAAGTAAAATTAAAAAGAAAACAAATAAATAAATAAATAATGAAACCACAATTCGCTGTAATCCGCTAACCAACGCTCAAACATGGGCAAAACACACACCTCGTGTTTTTGAACTACACTCGACGTAAGTACTTTCTCAGCTCCTCCCCTGGGCATTTGAGAGGGAGCATGTGAAGGTTCAGAAAAACAAAGAAAACCATTACACAAATTCTCCTAAAAAACAAAAAGAACTGAAAAAAAAAAAACAAAGGGCAACGTAAGTCGAGCAAATAGAGTTCAACCTGTGCAGTAGTGATTGGTACAGCACCTGAGTGGTCCAAGAAGAACTGCTTGTCATCCCTTAGATCTGAATCCACCAAATCAATATCAGAAAAGGACAGAAACATTTTTTTTTCGCAATTTCACTATATCGAGTAAATAACAGTTCAAAAGAGACTTCAACTGCAACCAACAGAAATACCAACGACAACTTTTTTTTTTTTTTGGTATATTGTTTTGTATCAAAGTGTTCTCTCTTGTAATCAACTTAGAGGAGAGGATGACGGACTTATTGCAAGATTTACATTTTCTTAAAAACATCAGTTTGCAGTCCTGCACTTATAAAAGCCAGGAGACAAGCTATGATCTTTACCGATAATTAAGAATGAAGAGATTACAACTCCTTGATAGTAAAAAGCATGCTACAGAAACACAACACATAGCAAAAGAAAAGTTTCCAAACCACTCTTAATTCCAACTGAACGGTTATATCACACAGCCTGCAAATGATAAACGCTGTCATATAAGATACTGAATCTAGGGCATGCAATTGATACTTTCTACTGAATCATAGCTGGGCTTGCTAATAAGAGAAAATGCCAAAATAAAAACATCAGCACCACGATAACTCAATGGCCTTAATCTGTTGTAGTCCCCCTTTCCTGTTCCCAAAAAACAAAATGTAGATTAAGAGAGCTGAAAAAATAAATAAATAAATAAATAATAAGATAAGCATATGATGGATGTTACAAAAAAA